AGTTGACCCTGGTTGGTGGTACAGAGGTTAACAGAGGTTTTCTTGGGTAAACATGAAAGTAATGGTGAGAGATAAAGATGACTCGGTGTCAGGAAGGACAGTGAATATGTGAATGGGGAAGAGGCTGGTCAGTTGACAGATAGGTGATGCTTGTGCAGCAGTGCCTGGGTGGGCTGGTGGAAGGATGAGTGGACCGATAGATGGGTAGGTATACATGTTGGAGGGTGGTGATTGACTGGATTGGTAGGTGAATGGATGGGTAGATGATGGGTTCAGTGGATTGGTGAAGGTGAGTAGCTGGTTCTTGGCAAGATGAGTGGCTGGAAGCCCTTTATCCTGCCCCAGGGCTCTGCTCTGTGATACTTGCTCTCAAGTTCTGACTCCGTATCCAACACTTGGCCATGGGTCAGGCCTGTTCCCCATTTACCTGCCTTCTGCACCCCCAGGTGGGGAAGTGCAATGATGGAAATGGGGTTGAGAAAGTTTTTGTTTGCTCTTCCAGGAGCTGAGGACCAGGATGGGGATGGAGAAGGACCTAAGACTGGTAAGTCTAAGCTTGTAGCTGGTCTTATTGGCTGAGAAAAGGACACAGGGACAGGGGAGAGGTCTTCAGGACCTGGAGGAGCCATATTTGCTTGAGGTTGAATGAAGCGTGTCCTGTGAACTGAGGCCTCACCACCCATGTGAGTCTGATCTCTGCTCAGCATTAGGCTTGGAGGTAGCTCTCCCCTGATTCCTTTCCAGGTGCTGCTTCACCTCACCTGCCTACCTTTACCCATCTGCCAGCCAGTCCCACCCTTAGAGACCCTGCACTGTGGAGTCTGGTGGATTCCTAGGGGAGGGAGATAGAGCAGCCTGAGTTTCAGTTCCAGCTCCTGCTCATATAAGCTGAGTGGCCTTGAGCTTTGCTTCTCTGGGCCTTGACCTCCTCATCTTTGAGTCTCAGTTTTCTCATAAGAACTGCCTCCCTTCATTGGGTGTGTGGGTTTGATTAGATGAGGTAATGTCTATAAATGGCCTACTATCATACCTGGTACCTAGGAAGTGCTCAATACCTTGGAGTCCTGTTACTAGGCAGATAGTGTAAGATAGTCCCATTCTGGATACAGGTTAAGTAACTCTGGTAACTTTGCTCCTTTGGGCTTCCGTTTCCCATCTGTAAATGTCATCCTGCCCTTGCCCTGATGGCACCCGAAGCTGGTTTTGGAGGTCTCTGAAGTGACAGGATAGGAAAGAGGTTTGCAAAGGTCCTGGTGCTGTGGGGACACAAGCTGGGAGCCCAGCGTGGGGTGGGTGCCAACGTGCTGGTGTCCCGTGGCCATGGTGCCCTCATTGCCTTCCCTTCTGGCTCCTGGGCTGGGAAAGGCAGGTTCCTGCTGAGCCATCTGGGATGATGCTAGTTGACACCAGTTCCCTCCCCACACCCACAGAACGAAGGGCAAGAAATGGACACCTGGGACTGCTATAAATTATGCCAATTAATTATCTGCCTTTGGTGTCCGGGTGTGGAGATGGCTCTGGGATCAGGCCTCCTTTTTTCATGCTCAGAGGCAGATGGAGTTGAAAGAAGTGAGAGCAGGAGCTGGTGGCTTAGAGATTTGGTCAGTGTCTGTTCCACATGGTCCTGGGGACTTCCGGGGACATCCGCAGCCTCTCTTGCTCCTTACTTCACTGTGTTTGTGGAGTAGATACCACATCTCTATCTCACTGGAGGGCAGGTAGTTGTTCTCATTCGACTGATGCAGAAAACCGAGGCCTAGAGATGGGAGTGACAAGCCACAGAGTGGAGCTGGGACTTGGGACAGCAGCCTAGGCCCCCTTCCTTGGTGCTATGATGTTTCCCCCGCTCTCCTGCCTCCTCCTCCCAGTCCTTCTATCTCTCTACAACACAACTTTCCACAGTTCCTCCTAACTATGTGCTTCTTCCTTTTTTGCAGTCCTGAGGCCTCTAAAACACTCTGAAAACAAAGAAGGTAATGACACGTGGTACTTGAGATTGTGTGTGTCTGTGCACTTGTGTGTAGGAGGCACGGAGGGTCATGGGGGAGTGATTACACCCCTTGCTGGTGACCTGCTCCCCAGAAGAGCAGCCTCCACTCCCCTCGCACCCCCTAGTAGAGCTGCTGGGACCTTGGTTACTCTGCCCTCTGAAGCGTGGGGTCAGACCAAACCTGGGTCCAGCAACCTCGGTACTTGGGTTCTGGCTAGGAGAGAATTCAGAGCCAAGACCCAGCTGTAAGAGAACATTTATTTAGTAAATCATAGAGGTAAAAAAGTAATTCTAAAAGAAATGCACTTAATAAACAAGTTATAGAGGTAAAGGAAGGGCCCTTGGAGCTTGGGAGTGAGGAAGCAAATGGTAAAGTGCCTGGCGCTGGGAGGGAGAAGGAAAGGGGAGAGGGAGGAGAGAAAACGAGGGGGAGAGGGAAAAAAAGGCAAGGGCATGTTCTCAGAAGGGAGAGCACACTGGGTCCTCCATCCTAAGGGTTTTAAGGATGGAGAGTTTAGGGGGGGTCCCAGGGGAAAATCTTAATAGAGTATTCAGCAGCTTTCCAGGTGTCCTTTCAGGGTCTAGGTCTCCACTGATTGGCTGGTGGTGGTCAGGGCAGGGGGTCATTATCCAATGCAGCTGGTCCTGAGGTCAGCCATAGCTGGTTTTGTTGCTTATCTGGGCCTGGAACTGAAATCCAACTGAGGCCTAGATGTTATCTCTAGGGAGGAAAGGTTACGGGATCCAAACTCCATAACCAGCCATATGCTAGGGGAGGAGAAGTCACCCTGGGGGCGAGGTCCCACCCTACAATTGTCCTTTGCTAGGCACCACCCTGGTGACCTATACCTGGCCTATTGTCCTTGCTCTGCTCATGTCTATCTAACTGCTTATTACAGACCTGAGTGGCTTCCACCTAGAAAATCAAGGTTGGTTGCCAAAGGTTATGGAGCCTTAGAGTTTTTTCAAGTCACCTTGGTGTCCCTGTTAGGAATTCCTGGATGCTCATCCCTTCATTGAGCTTTCCTCTGGGTCCCAGGCTCTGGACTTGCTGGGCAAGCACGGGGCAGTCCACAGGAGGAGAGCTATTTTCCGGGACAGACAGACCCGCAAAGAATGGGAGAGGGAAGGGTGGGGTCACACATGTCCCTGTCCTCCTTCTAAACTCTCCATTCAGGCCAGGAGGAGAGTGAGGCCAGGGCTATGAATCCACGAGGTGCCCTCTACATGGAGACAAGGGGGAGGAAGGTTTCCCACAGCATGGCTGCTAGGGATAGTGGCGTGGGGAAGAGAAGCTGGAAAGGGTTTCCTGCTGGCGGACAGAAGAGATGGGAAGGGAAAAGTGTGCCAGGCAGAGGGGCCAGTGGGAGGGAAGTGTTTGAGTTGAGTGGACCCATGGGGATTGGTGAGGACCAAGCAGTCTCCCTCAGGCGCCCCGGTGGTCTGTCTGATGCCCAGCTCCGGTGTTTGTGTCTTTCTGGGCCGTGGGGCAAGCGCTTAGTGCTGGGGACTGCTAGCTGGAACTCTGGCCACTCCCACACACACTGCCCGCTCTGAAGAATGTGACCATGTGCCTGGGCTTCTGGCACTCTCCCAAGAGTAGAACTCAGGCACTTAATGCTCCTTCCCCCCTTTTTTTCTTCCCATCATGAAATTTAGGTGATGGACCAGAAATAGCCTGACCAAAGGATCAGGGAGCTGCTGCCCTTGCCTTGGGCTCCCCCCTCTGCCTGCACTGGGGCCTCTGTGTGAGCCCTGGGCTCGGGCTTCCTTGCCCCCAACAGATGGCTCCCATCCTGGCGAATCTACTCATTCTGCGGAGGATGCGATACAAGACCACTTACAGCCTCATTTCTCCAATGGACACGACTCCCAAGTCATCCTGCTGCCTTATTTCTTATGGACACAATACACAGACCCCACCACCTTGTTTCTCCAATGGATACGCTACATGGACCATCTGGCTGCCTTTTTCTCTAGAGCACTCAGCTTTCAGACTGACCCTCTGACTTGTTTCTCCAAAGACACGATACATAGTCACTCCTCACCTTGTTTTTCCAGTGGCCCTGATACACTAGCTCTCACTTCTCAGACTTCCTCCCACCTGCCTGTAATCCGTATCCTCAGATGGGGCACTGTAGCCTCAGTATCGCCTTGAGTCTAGCGGTGTCTCCTCTTGCTTTCTCCCACGCTGGCCCCAGGGCCGGCTTTTCCCTCCTCCACTGAGTGAACACAGGTCCCCTCCCAGGCATGCAGAGGCACAGGTGCACGTGCTGGAACACGTACAAGGTCCCCCTGGTCTGTGCCCTGTGAGCCCCCCTCTGCCCACCATCCCCGCGGGAAGCACGTGCTGGTCACACTGGGTCCTGGGGATCAGCTTCTGTTCCTCTGCTTTTCTGCCTTTTGCTTATTCATTCAAGTAATGTTCACTGAGCACCATGGGGGTTGGCACTGTGTTAGGTGTGGGGAACCCTCCCTGAGAAGACAAGCTGCTTCCTCAAGGACTTGTCCTTTAGCTGCAACCCTGTGAGGAAATAGCAGTTCATGAGAGGGACTCCTGCCTTCTCCCTGCTGTACCCCCAGCTACCTAGGTACCTCACCCCATCCCATCTCTGGTTCTTACTCAGAGTGGCAGGAGGTGGGTAGAAACCTGGAGAGAGGGATGGAACCTCTCACTCTAACTGGTGAGAAGCTGATGTCCCCAAAGTGTCTTTTCAGAGTGAGCAGGTGGGCAGTCAGGCAAGACCAAACAGACCCCAAGAGCCCAGCAAGAAGGATGCCTGGGGCCTCGGCCAGGGGTACAGCCCCTCCTCCCTTCCCCCACCATGGTGCTATTCTGGGGCTGGGCAGACATTTCCTGGCCTCTCTTTGGCCAGCCCCCAGCCTCTGGTAGAATGAACTTCTGATGTTCTCCCACTGACATAGCTCCCTTCACCAACAGTGAAGACATGGGGATTTCTAATTTAAATGTGGGACTCTCAGGAATTTCATAAACTGGGGGGAGGCGGGGAGGTACTTGGGGGAAAATAAATGCCTTTGTAGAAAGCTTTTTCTCTGTGAAGTGCATGGAATAGGGCCGGGTCAGGACTCAGCAGGAAGGATTCCTTCCTGGACATCACAGCTGGACCTCCTTTCACCATCCTTACAGCACTCGGTCTCGGGAGCCATGTCGCCCCTCCCTGGCCTCAGTTTCTCTCTTGGTAAAGTGAAGTTGGCCATGTAGAAAGGCCCTTTGGTTACTGTATGGGGCTCCACTCACTCCTAAAACACCCCATAAAGAAGACTCTGACCCCAGGTTTGTTTAGGGCTTCTGCTAATACCCCATTTTGCAGATGGGGAAGCTGAGACCCAGTGAGAAGCTGGTACCAGGAAAGGAGTTCTGCGTGCTATTCTTTTTAATAAAATTTTATTATTATTATTATTGGTTTTGGGAGAGAAAGGGAGAGGGAGAGATAGAAACATTGATGAGAGAGAGACATTGGTCGACTGTCTCCTGCATGCCCCTCACTGGGGATCGAGCCCAAACCTGGCCATGTGCCCTAACAGGGAATGGAACCAGTGACCTCTGGGTTCATGGGTCAACACTCAACCACTGAGCAACACTGGACTCAGTGGGCCTGTGACCCGGAGCAAGGTGTTCGCTTCCTTGGGCCTTCTTTTCTTATATGAAAAGTAGGCCTGAGGTTTTCACCACTTTCCACCTCCGAAGACTGAGAAGGAGGGGTGAGCATGGCAGGCAGACAGGCGTCCAGAGAACCAGGTTCAGGTCACAGGCACCTGCAGGGTGCTCGTGTTATTTTCTCCTGGAGCACTGATCTCAGCGCTAGCCTGCCCGTTGGTCCCAGAGCTCCACAGGCCTTGGGGCGGCAGCAGGAGCCAGGGCTGAGGGTCAGGACACTTGAATTTGGTTCCTGGCTCCACTACTAACCTGTGACGGAGTCGTCATACTTCTGAACCTTAATTTTCTTACCTATTAAGTAGGGGGATGAGTCCTGTTCTGAAAAGTATGTGACATTCTTTGCTAACTGGAGCACTTGTTATAAAGTAGGTGGTCCCGGGAGTGATAGGGTCACCTTGCTTGAAGTTCCACCACTGGTTTAGAACCAAAAGGTCCGTGAGAGTCTCTGCCTTTGCTTCCCCCATCCACCACCTCGGGTTTGCTCACGTTACTGGGCTTCAACCCCAGAATAAGGTGGGATGACAGTAGTTCATTTCATAGGGTTGTTGTGAGGGTTGGACAGGCAGTGGGTAAGAAGACACTGCAAACTATAAAGTACTGGGCACATAGTAGGGCTTATCTTTCCTCTCCTGCAGTCGAGGTTGCGCACTCTTGCTCCCTAGGCGATTTTGTGGCCCAGAACAAGCTGACTGAATCAGTTTGTCCATCTGTAAAACAGGTATGATTACCAGTGCTTTTCCTTTCTAACAGGGCAGGTTAAGGCTTAGAGATGACACTGTATTAAGTGCTTCTAGGAGTGACCTAGCAGGTAAGAGACTTGCCGGGGGGGAGGAGGGGCTGAGGAAGGTGGCCACTAAGTTCCCTGTGACAAGTACCCAGAGAGCAGTATTTTTAGCTGCCCTTTCTGGGCAAAGCTCCAACTCCTGCATTTTAATGGAGAAATAATTCTCACAGTGCGTCAAGCTGTAGCCTGCAGGTGTCACATCCATATTAAAAAGAGGACAGAGCAAGGGTTCATTTGCCTGGCTTGAGGTGTGACTGGAATTCAACTCCAGGACCATTTGTAACCAAGGCTGTGAAGACCAATTAGCATATCTGACCACTCCAAGGAGGGATGAGCGATGAGACTGGTGGGAGTGAAAACAGCATGGCCAGGGGCCTTGAGTCACCCTGTCTTTCTCTACCTGCCTCTTTCCTCCTTCAGAGTGCTCTGCTTCTATTCACAGGCGTGAATGGTGCCTTCCAAGAGGTCTGCTCAGGGGTAGGCCCCTGACCGTGCTCACCCCAGGAGGCAGTTGTTGAGTGGGATGCTGATCCTTGTGGGCCAATGAGCAGAGACCATGGCTGATCTGAGTGGGGCAATGTCCACATATCCTGTTGCAAAGCCCAAGTATTAAACTGAGATATGGAGCCAAAGTTTGCCTCAAGTAGCCAAACCCCAAGCCGCCAAGGACAGGGAACCCACAGAGAAGCTGGAGGCTGACATGAAGTGAGGAAGCAGAATGGATGGGGGTGGGGAGCAGCAGATCCAAATGCAAGCAAAAGAGAAATGTATAAAGTGCTTGTCCTCACCTCCAGTCCCCTACTCAGAGGGAAGCACTATCAAGGGTTTGCTGTCCTTCCAGACTTTTCCCCAGGTTACACATTTACAAAAATAAAGTCAGACATACTATTCTGCAACCTTCGTTGTTGTTTTTTTCTTTACCCAAGTCAGTTCTTCTGTTTCTTTACTTTTTAAATGAGGTGTAACATACATCTAGTGTTTAAAAGACACTAGTTCTCAATGTATAGCTCCATGAATTTTCACACAAGTATCTCTACCCATGCAACCATCATCCAGGTCAAGATATAAAACACGTTTAGAATCCAGAAAGTTCCCCAGAGCCCCTTTGTTATGCAAAGAGCCAAGGTCTGAGAAAACCTGGGGGTATTGCTTGTGGATTTTAAAGAAATAACGCGGAAGCCCAGCTGTGAAAGACACGGGTTTACTACGTGCGCACGGGTGGTGGCTGAGCAGTGTGGTCTGCAGCACAGGGTTCGCAGCACACGGCTGTGTAGAGGGTAGGGAACAACAAAGGGCACAGGCCCGCGCTCGCACACAGCTGTGGGAGATTGGAGCGCTAGCTGTTTCTCTACACTTGTTCGCAGCCCAGGCAGTTTCTCTTTGGCAGTTTCTTGACGGAGGAGCTGGCCAGGCTCCCAAGGTCAGTCCCAGTCTGCTTACTGATGGCCTTCATCATATTCCCACAGGGTGGGAGGGGGAGTTGGAGCTTGGGAAGGGGCGGGCCCAGGTTCTCACATACACACATGCTTCCCAGTCAGTGGCCCCACCAGAGATATTATTCTGGCTGCTTTCACTACAGATTCACTGTGCTTGTTCTTTAACTTCATATAAGTGGAATCCTATAGTTTCCTCTTTCAGAGTTCTCTGCTTCTGGCTAGAGCCCTGGTGCATGTACATGAAATATTTAGCAACGATCTCAACCATTGGCACCAGGTACCTCTATTCTTAAAAACCTAAGTGATTCTAATGTGCAGCCAGGGTTAAAAACCACTGGATTAATGGGATCCAGAGCTGTATCTAGAATAATATATTCTATTTTGTGTCTAGCTTCTTGCAAAGAGCTCCTCATTCTATTTAAATTGTTACATAGTATCTGATGGTACTACTGTTCTGGAATATATTTTGCCAGTTCTTATATCTAGTTTGGATATAAACAATGTGGACTTGTGCTAGAGTTTCTACAGTATGGAGCCCATTAAGTGGAAACTTGGGGTCACAGGCCTGTGCATTTCAATTGTTGGCAGAGTTACCAATTGTTTGGGCTGCCTTTATAGCCAGTCCCTGTGGCAGCAAGAACCTGCAAGCAAAGAACATTTAGGCCACCAGCAAAACCGATTCTAGGCGGGGTAGGAAGGCTGCTGGCAATTCCCACCCTAGCTGGTCAGGGATGGAACCTAACTCAGCAGTGGATGGGCCTGTGACCATCTCTTCCTCTCCCACCTACTCTGGACTGCTTTCCCCTTCAGCATCTGCCTGTGGCAGCGGCCGCCTCCGTTCCCTGGAAGCTATCTTCCCATTTCTGGGACCCCAGTCCTGGAGGGGAGTGTGTCTGCCTCCTGCTGGATGAAGTGGTCTGAGCGTGTGCTGGGGCTGTGCTGAGCCCCGCATCCTACACTTGGAACACCTGACCATAATGGATGGAGGCGGTTCATCAGCACCTCGCTGGGTGTAGGTGCCTCGGGGCAAGTTAAATCTGCTCTTGTGTCTGAGGATGTTCCTAACCTGCCATTTGGTTCCACCAGCTCCGGGTAATTATGATGACATTATTTCACTGCTAATGAGGTGGTGCTTGTTAGAGCACTGGAAACCCTGGGTCTCATGGGGCAAACAGAGTGCCCGTGGCTTTTGTCCTCAGCCTTTCCCCAGCATCTGAGCAGCAAAATAGCCCCCTCCCCTCAACCTTCCTCAGCTGATATGATTTCTCCACCCCCACTGCCATCCTCTGGACATGTTTGTTTCATCACTGTCTTTTTAGAGTGAGGCCCTGGCATGGATTGTATTATTTCAGGTCATAATAGAGCAGTCTCTCACCTCCTTGATCCTGAGTGTTATGCTCCTAGTGATACTGCTCTGGGTCCCATTAATCCAGTGGTTTTTAACCCTGGCTGCACATTAGAATCACTTAGGAGGCTTTTAAGAATAGAGGTACCTGGTCTCCCTCCCTAGAAGTTCTGGTGCAGTTGGTTGAGATCATTGCTAAATATTTCATGTGCACACACCAGGGGCTCTAGCCAGCCTTACAAGTTAATGTAAAATAAGATTCAGAGGACAACCCTGAGGAGAGATCTTTGAGACCAGGCACCTGAGATAAGCCAGCTCTTCTAAATGATCACTGAATCAATATCTGATAGTACTACTGTTCTATCAGATTTGCTGCTCAGATGCTGGGGAAAGGCTGAGGACACAAGAGGTGTTTGTTTTCTCACTAAAGGATGCACAGAAAATACAGGTGCAAGAAAGGTTGAGGGACAAGATCATGGTTAGATTGGAGAAGCGGGGGGAGGGGGAGCGTTCCCTGTGTTGTCCGGCCCAGGAGAGAGCAGGAACCCTGAGTCCCATCCCTTGGTCAGACCAGGTACGTAGGCTCTGGTAGAGTGAGGAAGGATAGCTTGGACAATGGCTCAGTCCTTTTCAGTTCAGTATAGAAAATGAGGGGCCCTCCCCCCTTTCTCCCTGTGTCTCTCTCTTTTGTCACCCCCAGTCCTCCAGATGTGCACAGCCAGTGGCTGGTTCTGGCTCCCTCCCACCTTCCCTCTAGCACCATGTTCTCCATGAGGTGAGGGCCATCTGTCCTTCTCCTGGCA